TAAACACAGTGTTTTTTTGTATTATGTTATGCCAACTGAGCTAGAAGTTCCCTGGAACCATGGTCCAGAGCCCTTAGGTCCAACTCACTCCATCACGGTGGTTGGCTGTGGCTGAGAAGTTATAGTAACTTTGCCTCCTGTTAGTTCTATTTATATGGACATTGTTACAGCACATACAAATGCATATGTGGAACTGTCATCTGCCAACCCTGTATGTGGTAATGGGTATATTCCCTTTTGCTCAAATGCGTATGTGGAAATACCATCTGCCAACCTTGTATATGGTAATGGGTATATACCCTTTGCTCATCTAGTCCCGTTTTTATGACTGGCTGAACTGTGGTGAGTTGTATTAATTTCTCTATACATTTTCTCCCTTGTAAAATGGGAATAGTGCTTTTTATTTTTTTTATTTTTTCCTTTTTTTTTATTAGGGGGAATAGTGCTTTTTAAAGGAATATCTTTGTGATTCTTGAACCGGATAAGGTCTTTATAATATGGTTGTCTTATCAAGTCCTAACAGCTAATTACTATAGAGATCATTTTCATGCCAGATATCAAAGTTGAAATTTGCAGCAGGAGCAGAGATTCTTGTATTCACATAAGTACCCAGAATGACGGCTGAAGCCAGTCATGCTTTTGAGTTCCAGATGCACCTTATAAAAATGCAACAACGCAACCACTGCTGTGGAGTCAGATCTGACTCTTAGTGACCCTTCCTTGGGTTTCCGAGGCAGTATCACTACGTAAGTAGATTGCCCAACCTTCCTTCTGGGGAGTGGCTGGTGGGTTTGAACCACTGGCCTTCTGGTTAGCAGTCAAATGCCTTAGGCACTGTGCCACCAGAGCTCCCGATGTACCTTACAAGCACTGGTAAATGGAACGCAAGGGGCCCTCATCCACTTAAAAAGCTGGGCCAGATTTTGATCATTACTGTTAAAGGTTCAAAGATATTAAATGCATGAGAAGAAAACATCTATCAAATTCCATTTGGATCACAAAGGAGCTGAGTCTGTAAAATTGGTCTTCTGGTCAGAAGCTAGCACATACAGTATTTATCCATTACCCAAATCAGACACACACACAATGAGAGAAATATTCAAGCTTCCCACAGTTGAGGGCTCACTCAGCACCCACTGCGTGGACTGCACAGCATTCGTCTTCTTGATCTCAGCATCTAGAATGACAGCTGTTCTTTCCTAAATGACAGATTTGCATTACAAATGTATATTGGCCCAAACGAGTAGCAATACCTTCTGTAACAGGCCTTCCTACCCAGCAACAAGCTTTGTTGTTCTCTTTAGTGACAACTTTGCTTGATTGGCTTGCTTGGCTTGCTTGATAGCGCACTATAGGAAGCTTTTCCTTAATGTTTCTAGGATTTATGACTCACCTCCTGTGCCAGAATTCCTTTAGAAATTATTTGTAAGAGACTATAAAAAGAAATTTCAAAGAATTTGCTCATAAATCTACGTGTGCCCCCCCCAAAAAAAACCACCACCGCTGAGTTGATTCTGACTCATAGGGACCCTTTAGGACAGAAGAGAACTGTCCCATAGGATTTCCAAGGCTGTAAATCTTTAAGGAAGCAGACTGCTACATCTTTCTCTCATGAAGCAGCTGGTGGGTTAGAACTGTCAACCTTTTGCTTCACAGCCAAATGCTTTAACTACTGTAGCACCAGAGCTCCTTAACACAACTGTCCAAGACAATTTGTTGTTGTTGTTATGTGCCATCAAGTCGGACCGGACTCATAGCGACCCCTCCTTGGGTTTACAAGGCAGTATCACTATGGAAGTAGATTGCCCAGTCTTCCTTCCAAGGAGTGGCTGGTGGGTTTGAACCGCCAGCCTTCTGATTAACAGTCAAGTGCCTCAGGCACTATGCACTACGTTACCAGAGCTTCCAAGACAATAGATATTTTTATTTCTTAAGTATCTCCCAATCTTGATTTCTAGATATATACTTTTTTTTAATGTAGTTGTACTCAGAATATGTAAATTTACAGTCACTTGCAATCCTGAGTATATCAGCTCTAAAGAGTGTTCGTCACACATCTAGATCTTTACTTTTCTGTTCATTCTAGTTGCTTCAATTTTTCATTTCTTTAGAATTTAAAATGGACAATAGTCATTTCTTATTTTCTAAGCACTCTTTACCTATTCAAACAAAAGTCTCATATTAATTATTATTCATTATTCCATTTTTATAGAATTTTAGTACATTTTGTAGACCTTATATAAAAGGTACCTAGAATATTTTTGTTTTAGACAAACCCACCAGCCACTCCTTGGAAGGAAGATTAGGCAATCTACTTCTGTAGAGATACCACCTCAGAAACCCAAAGAGGGGTCACTGTGAATTGGGATTGACTGAACGGCAGTGAATTTTGTTTTTGGTTTAACATTGATTTGATAATATTGAACACTGTGCTTTGATCCTCAAAGATAGTAAAAGTGCTTTACAAAATAATAAAGTCAGGAATTTGCTACTAAACTGACAGTCCTTTTATAGTAATAGGTTATTGTAAAAATTTAGATCAGAATTTATTTTATTATATGTTTTATTTTCATTAGATCAAAATTAATGGTAACAATGATGTTGTTGTTGTTATATGCCGTCAAGTCAGCCCCGACTCATAGCGATCCCTCCTTGGGTTTTCAAGACAGTATCACTATGGAAGTATATTGCCCAACCTTCTTTCCGAGGAGCGGCTGGTGGGTTTGAACCGCCAGCCTTCTGGTTAGCAGTCACGTGCTTTAGGCACTGTGCTACCAGAGCTCCAGTAACAATGACAGCTACTGTTTATTTGATACTGCACTAGGTATTGTGCTAGGAACTCTGGTAGTGTAGTGCTTAAGGCACTTGACTGCTAACCAGAAGGCTGGCAGTTCAAACCTACCAGCCACTCCTAGGAAGGAAGGTTGGGCAATCTACTTCCGTAGTGATACCACCTCGGAAACCCAAGGAGTGGTTGCTATGAGTCAGGTCCGACTTGACGGCACATAACAACAACAAAGGTATTGTGCTAAGGAGCTCTAGTGGTATAGTGGTTAAGGCATTTGACTGCTAACCAAAAGGTCAGTGGTTAGACGGAAGAAAGATGAGGCAGTCTGCTTTCATAAAGATTTATAGCCATGGAAACCCAGAGTGGGTTGCTGTGAGTCAGAGTTGATAGAATGGCAGTGAATTTGGTTTTTTAGTTTGAGATATTATGCTAATTGCCTTACAAAATATATAATCCTCATAATTACTATGAGATACGTATTGTTACTTCCCCCTTCTTTTTTTTTATTAAAGAAACTGATACATAAAGAGAAAAAACAATGAACCAAGATGTGAAATTAAATTTCTGATCCTTAACTGCTCTCTGAATTACTCCTGTGACCCTGTGGTACTGCCCTATGACATTTAGTAATTAATTTCTAAATGAAATTACTTATGAATATATTCTTATATAAGTTATTAAATACAGAATTATTCATAAATTTAATTTTAATACACAAAGTCTGTTTAAAATAAAATCTACCAAGTTTCTGTTGTTGGTGGACTATTTTGGGAATGCTCTTTCTAGTTTATTAAACTAGAATAATACATGTTCTTGTTGTTGTTATGCACCATTGAGTCATTTCAGGCTCACAGCGACCCTGTGTACAACAGAATGAAACACTGCCTGGATCTATGTCATCCTCACAGTAGTTGCTATATTTGAGCCCATTGTTGCAGGCACTGTGTCAGTCCATTTCATTGAGGGTCTTCCACTTTTTCACTGACTCTCTACTTTACCAAGCATGGTGTCTTCCAGGGTCTCGTCCATCCTGATAACACGTCCAAAGTATGTGACATGAAGTCTGGCCTTCTTGCTTCTAGGAGCATCCCAGCTGTACTTCTTCCAAGACAGATTTGTTCGTTCTTCCAGCAGTCCATGGCATATTCAATATTCTCCACCAACAATATAATTCAATTGCCTCAATCCGTCTTTGGCCTTTATTCCTTGTCCAGCTTTCACATGTATATTGAGGCAATTAAAAATACCATGGCTTGGATCAGGTGCACCTTAGTCCTCAAAGTAACATCATTGGTTTTGAACACTTCAAAGAAGTCTTTTGTAGCAGATTTGCCCAATGCAGTTGGTCATTTGAGTTCTTGACTGCTGCACCCATGGGTATTGATTGTGAACCTAAGTAAAATGAAATCCTTGACAACTTCAGTCTTTTCTCCATTTATCTTAGTATTGCTTATTGGTCCAGTGGTGAGGACTTCTGTTTTCTTTATGTTGCAGTGTAATCCATACTAAAGGCTTTGATCTTCATTAGTAAGGGTTTCAAGTACTTTTCACTTCCAGCAAGTAAGGTTCTATCATTTGCATATTACAGAATGTTCATGAGTCATTCTCCAGTCCTGATACAGCATTCTTTGTCATACAATCCATTTTCTCTCTAGTGATGGAATACATGTATATAGTTTAAAAGTAAAACAGTACTACAAAGCTCATAGTGAAAATAACGATTTTCTACATCGCCACTGTGTGCTTCCTGGAAACAACAACTACTAACATTTTTAGCTGTTTTTTCTAATATTTATTTCATTATTTCCAAATAACATATTTATACTGAAATTTCTTGATTTTTTAAGTTATGGGCATACTGCCAAAATTCAACCATTTCAGGAGGTAGCATATGATCAAGAACCAGTGGTATGGAAGGAAGAAGTCCAGCCTGCATTGAAGGAGTTGGTGGAAAACAAAGCTCTAGGAATTGATGGAATAGCCATTGAGATGTTTCAACAAAGGGGTGCAGCGCTGGAGGAGCTCACTCATTTATGCCAAGAAATCTGGAAGACATCTACCTGGCTAGTCAACTGGAAGATAGCCATATTTGTGCTCATATCAAAGAAAGATGATCCAACAGAATGCAGAAATTATCAAACAGTATCATTAATAACGGGAGCTCTGGTAGCATAGTGCCTAAGGCATTTGACTGCTAACCAGAAGGCTGGTGGTTCAAACCCACCAGCTACTCCTCAGAAGGAAGGTTGGGCAATCTA